CACTGGAGGATTCTGGGCGGGGCTCCACCCTGACCACGCCCCCAGCTCCTCACTGGAGGATTCTGGGCGGGGCTTTCACCCCTTAGGAACTGTGGCTTTCTAAAGACTTTTTACTGGCCTCACACAGCAGCCGCCCCTCCTTCTGAGACAGTGTGTCAGTGTATTACTCAGGCTGGCCTTGATCTCCCTCCATAGTCCAGGCCAGCTTACAGTAGGCTTGTAAATCTGAACCAGAATTAGGCCACACGCAGAAATCCTATCTGGAAAAATCAACACTTGGCGGGGGAGGGTTGGCCTCGGGTCCTGGGAGCGCAGTGGGGAAGGTGGAGGGGTACCGTGTTGCTGCAAGTTCAGCCTGTGTAGTCATTTTTCCGCGAGGCCAGGCATCCAGAGAGCCCCGGCCAGCAGCAGAAGGTGCACTGCGTGAGTCCGTCTAAGTGGAGAAGGGAGACACCGGGGCTCCACACCCGAGCCGCAGACCCGCTGGTGTCCCGTCCCTCACACCAAGGGAAGCCAGCCCCGGGCCCCAGGTCCTTTGAGCGGGCTTGCACTCATGGCCCAGGCTCAGCTTAGATGCCACCTCCTCAAGGGAGCCCACCGTGACTGCACCATCTGACCTAGGCATGACCCCCGTACACACAGCATTACCAAGTGTTAACAGATCCGCACCTCATGGTGGACTTTTGCATGCACAGGAATTTCTCAGAGAAGGGATTCGCCCACTTCCGGTTTTTATCATTGATTTCTGGGTTTGGGGATTTGCTTTCCTTTGATTATGTGGGTTTCTGGGATTGAACTCATGTTGTATGGCTTGGCAGAAAGTGTCTTCACAAACTCAGTCGTATTTTAGCCACTATTTAGCCTTTAAAAAAAATAGTTTTATGCCTTTAATCCCAGCACTCAGGAAGCAGAAACAACAGGTGGCTCTCTGAGTTTGAGTCCAGCCTGGTCTGCAGAGCAAGTCTGAAGTTCCAGGACAGAACTACACAGAAAACCCTGCCTCAGAAAACAAAAAATAAACAAATAAAAGTTCAACAGTTATTTGTATATCTGTGCAGGTGGGTTGGGTGCTCATGGGGGCCAGAAGTGAAATCTCCCAGAGCTGGAGTTCTGGGTGGTTTTGAACTGGGTCCTTTGCCAGGGCAGCAGGCGTTCTCCTCCCTGAGTGCACTCTTGGCAGACCTGGGAGGCAGAGGCAGGGGGAGTCCTGCATCCCCCTGGCCGGCCGGCCTTAAGCGAAAGGCACTTTGTGCAAGTGGAGGGTGAGGGGAAGCAATGGAGCACACCCAGGCTCTGACCCGTCTCCCACGGATGTGAGCCTTTTCGTTTTTTGAGACAGGGTTTCTCTGTGTAGTCCTGGCTGTCCTGGGCTTGCTCTGTAGCTCTGTGGACCAGGCTGGCCTCGAACTCACAGACTCACCTGCCTCTGCCTCCAGAGTGCTGGAATTAAAGGGGTAAAGAGAGTCTTATGTTAGCAACTCAAGGGAGACAGGGTTGATTTCAGCCCACAGCTCCAGGGAAGAGCGAGTCACGGCGCTGAGAGCCCTTTGCTCTGTCCCTTCTTCACACCTATAGTCCAGGATCCTAGCCGAGGGACCGTGATCCCCACAGTTAAGACTCCTTCCCCCCCAGTTCTGCTTGGCTGCACAGGCCTGTGATCCCAGCACTCAGGAGGCAGAGGCAGGCGGATCTCTGTGAGTCCGAGGCCAGCCTGGTCTAAAAATGAGGTCCAGGACAGCCAAGGCTACACGGGGAAACCTTGTCTCAAAAACCCAAACCCGAAGCAACCAAACAACAGCAAAAAGATGCATTCCTGCACGTCAGTTAACATAAAAGACTCTCCCGGGACCAAGCACAGAGATTCTGCCAGGTTGACCATCAGCACTGGGTGTTACTCACAAGGAAAAAATAAAAGAAGAAGAAGAAGAACCCTTTGTCTGGGCCTCCGTAGCTGGAGCCTGGGGTGCCCAAGGCCCATGGCCACAGCCAGGGGTGGTCGGCACTCCTCAGGAGCTCACATCCTCGGCTACACAGTGAGCTGAGGCCAGCCTAGGCTACATGAGACCCAGGCCCAAAAAGAAGGAGGAGGAGGAGGAGAAGGAGGAAAGGTGAAACAGGGTATAGAGGGTGATGTTTCCACGAGTCCAGGCCCTTCCTGGTGGCCTCCTGACCACAGCCAAAACAACTCCTCCCAGAGCCCCGGCCTTTGTCCCGGCAGTTTCCACGCCCCTGATGCTATTTCCGGTCTGGCTGTGAGAGCCCAGCACGTCCCGCAGCCGCCTCTGCTGTCTGCTCTGCTCTGAGTCTTCTTGTCTAGACCCTTACCCAGTGACCCTGGCGTGGCCCAGCTCTGACTCAAGGTGTCTCGCTGGAAGCAGCGCCTCTGGGTTTTCTGTTGGCTTTGTTTTCTGAGACAGGGTCTCACTGTTCAGCCCTGGCTGGCCTGGAACTTGCAGTGTAGACCAAAATAGCCTGGAACTCAGAGATCCACCTGCCTCTGCCTCTAGTGGGTAGGCGTAAAAGCGTGCATCTCCACCACACCATGCCTTTTCTTTTCTTTTCTTTTTTTTTTAATTAAAAAAAAAAAAGAAAGAAAAGAAAAAAGAATGTATATGTGTTTTGCCTGTGCAGCTTGTCTGGTGCCGTCGGAGGCCAGGAGAGGGCGATGGTTCTTAGGACACTACGGAAGAGCAGCCAGTGCTCTAATAGCTGAGCCATCTCCCACCCCAGGTTTGAAACGGGGTCTCATGTAGCCCAGGCTAGCCCCAAACTTACCGCGTAGCCATGGATGAGCCCGAACTACTGACAGCTCCTTCTGCTTCTACCTCTCCAGTGCTGGGACCACACGTGTGCACCAAGCATACGGTTCCTGCTGTCCCGGGGGTCGAACCGGGGCCTCAAGCACGCTGGGTGAGTGCGCTACCCACTGAGCCACAGCCCAGCGGCCGATCTCGCTCATTAAAATATGCCTCCGGGGAGGTGTGTTTGCCACACGCGCCCCTGAGTGTGCACGGAGGCCTGAAGACAGCCTGCGGGGGCCCGTTCGCGCCTTGGACTCCCTGGGTTCCGGGGCTCGAACCCACGTCTCGGTGCTGGGCCCGCCGTGTGTGCGGCACGCCAGGCTGTGCCACCGCGAAGGCGACGTTCGTAGACGTCGGCGACGAGCGCTTCCCGGGATCCCGGACGTTGGATTCCTCGCTGGCACCGCGGGGACAGCACGACCCACGGCGCGTGCTCGCTCCCTCCCGCTTCCGGGCGCCGCGCCGCGACCGCGCGGGGCCGCCAGGGGGCGCTGCCGCGCCGCGCACGCCCGAGACCTTTGCGCGCTCGGTGGGCGGCGCGGAGGAGGCGCGGTGCGTCAGCGCGCCCGGGGGCCGGGGATTCGGGGCCCCGCCGTGAGTCACCGGGGCCCCCCGCGCCCCGCGGGAGCATCCCACGCGGGGCCTGCCCGTCCGCCCCGTGTCCCCGCTGTCTGCCCCGGCCACCCAGGAGCCGCGCTGCGGCCCGAGCGTCCTCGGCTGCCTCAGTTTCCCCCTGGCGAAGGCGGCGGCGGCGGGGGGGCAGCACCTCGGGGGGTCAGGTGTGAGGCTAGACCGTGGGGCGGCCGGCCGGGGGCGCCTCCCACGCGCACCCCACCCTGCAGCCGCCCCCCTGGGGTCCCTCTGCGGTGGAGGACGGGCGGGACCCCGCGGGAGGAGGGTCGCCAGCCCCGGGCCGGGCCGGGGACTGTCCGGGGACGGGGCGGGGGTTCCAGACGGCGCTCCCCGGGGGCGCGGGCCGGCGTCGCGCGCTGGAAAGCCCGCGCGCGGCCTGCGCTGCGCGGCTGCCGGGAAATCAGGAGAGAAACTTCTGTTTTTCTGCGTCTGTGTGTGTGGTTTGCTCGCTCTCGCTCTCTCTCTCTCTCTCTCTGTCTCTCTGTTTCTCTGGCGCTCGCCGCAGCCTGAGTTCGGGCTCCTCCCAACCCTGATGCCCACGTGGGGCCGCCGGAGCGCCGAGCTCCGCCCCCTCCCGCCCCCAGCCAATCGCGGAGCGGGCCACTCTGGTCTTTGTGAATCCGCCAATGGGGAGGCGGCGCGAGCCTCCCTCGCGGCCACGCCCCCACCCGGAAACCTATATAAGCGGCTCCCGGCGGCCGCGCGCTCAGTCTGCTGCAGCCCCCGGCCCGCTCCTGCCTCTGGACTCTTGCGCCGCTTTCGACGGGATTTTGCAATCTTCGTTTTTTCTTCTTGACTCCCTCCTCCTTGGGAAGGGAAGCCCCAGCCTCCGGGAGCCCTCGCAGCCTCCTGACCGCGCGGGAAGACGTTGTCATCCTTGGGCCGGCGCCGGGCGCGTGCTTTTGCCCTCGGGGACCTTCGGCGGGGCCCCGCGGTGGAGCGCGGCCGCATCATGACGCTGGAAGAGCTGGTGGCGGGCGACAGCGCGGCCCAGAGGTGAGCACGGCGGGGGCGCGAGGCCTCGCCCGCCGCCCGAGGTGGGCCGGGCCGGTCGCCGGCTAATCGCCCCGTTCTCCTCCGGCCCCGCAGGATGCAGGCGGTGAGCGCCGCGGTGGAGCGGCTGCTGGTGGCCGCGCAGCGGCAGGACCGCCTCACCGTGGGGGTGTACGAGGCGGCCAAGCTGATGAACGTGTGAGTCAGCGCCCCCTCCCCGGCGGGGGCGCCCCGTGGGCGCGGGGTCGGGGGACTTTCCCAGCGCCCTCGGTGGGGGGGGGGGGTGGACGCCTCTCTGAGATTTTATTTTATTTTACTTCTTTATTTTGGTGGGAGGAGAGCCGCGCTGCAGAGCCCACGGCACTGAAAGTTTGGGGTACCGCGTCCCTCTGTGTGGACCGGGCAGCCGCAGTGGCCTTGCGCCCGCGCCGCCACCCCCCCCCCCGGCCCCCCCCCCGCCCACCCCCGGGCACCCTCGGCCTCCCCGGTGCACCCCGGGTCTCGCACCCCTCGCGCCCGCGTTCCCCGCCCCCTCCCCCGCGCGGGGTCCCTGACAACCCTTCCCCCCTGCAGGGACCCCGACAGCGTGGTCCTGTGCCTCCTGGCCATTGACGAAGAGGAGGAGGATGACATCGCCCTGCAGATCCACTTCACCCTGATCCAGTCCTTCTGCTGTGACAACGACATTGACATCGTCCGGGTGTCGGGCATGCAGAGGCTGGCACAGCTCCTGGGGGAGCCAGTGGAGACACTGGGCACCACCGAGGCCCGGGACCTGCACTGCCTTCTGGTCACGGTGAGCTGGCTCTCTCTCTCTCCCTCCCCGCCCCACCTACCCTTCCGCCCGGGGCCCCTGGGACTCGTGTTTGTCAACAGAGCCGGGCTGGCTGGTCGGACACCAGCTCAGTGCCCAGCCACGCTCGGCATGTCCCGTGGGCTGCCTCATCACCCTGGCAGCTATTTTGAGCCAGCCTGTTTTTCCCAAAAGGGGCCCCTGGGCACCCGAGGGAGGCTCCTCACCGAACTCCTAGAGCGCCCACTAAACCCTGTCTTTTTCCTTCCTCCACAGAACTGCCACACAGATGCCTGGAAAAGCCAAGGCCTGGTGGAGGTGGCCAGCTACTGTGAAGAGAGCAGAGGCAATAACCAATGGGTCCCCTATATCTCTCTGGAGGAACGCTGAGGCCCGCTCCAAACGTCCAAAGCAACTGTTGAGTTGCTGTCCCCTAAAAATTAAATAAAATACATATTTCGTCCCCGCCCTCATCCCTCAGAACAATCCCTCCAAAGCCTCCCTACCGGTGAGACCTTCCGGGAGGGGCGGAGTCACCGAGACCGAGATGAGGAGAGGGGAGTGCGCGCTCGCCGCCCCCTGGGCTGCGGAGCCAGGAGCAGCACCAAGGTGGTCGCCGAGACAGGAAGGAGGGAGCCCGGGCCGGCGCCCCGCAGCCAGCTGCTGCACAGGCGCAGACGACCTGAGCCGTCGCCGCGGAGCCGGGATTCAGACTAACTCATCTGTCACTGTGCCGAGCAAGGCAGGTCGCTCGCATGGTTGTTGTTCAGGCTTCTGGACTGCAGAGACTGTAATAAAGTGGTGGAAGCCTCCTTGCTTGCTGTGTTTTCCCTCGCCCCGCCGTCAGCCCTCGCCGGAGCCCCTCCCCGCGCTCCCGGGCTCGGAGCGGAGGCCTTGGGGACCCCGACCTCCCGGACACACCGTCCCGTGCACCCAGACTCTCCTTCCCGGGTCTGGCTCTGTGGGCGCGCAGGAGTCTTCCCCAGCTGCGGTCAACAGCAAGGGAGAAACCGAAACCCGGCGGCCCCTCCCACGGCGCTTCCAGCGGGCCTCAGTTTACCCGCGACCTTTCCACCAAACCCCCCGTGGGCGGAGGAAATCCCCGGGGGCGCCCTGGGAGTCACGCGCAGGGGGCAGCCCCCAAGAAGGGGAGTCCCTAGGGGCGGGGCGCCTGGTGGGGGAGGGGAAGCGTACGGGGTGCAGGGTGTGGGCAGGAGGAGGGCCGTTGGGCTTGTGGGAGCGCTAGCCAGGGGCTTGGAGGGAGTGAGGGGGGAGTAGGAGTGAGGTCACCTACAACAGGCTTCGAGGAGGGGAGGAGAGCGGCGGTGGGGCCTGAGGCAGAGACAGGGCCGGGAACCTGGGGTGGGAAGGTGAGGGTCCCTGGTGGTCAGGTGTGGACTGTTGGGGGAGATGGCTTCCAGTCTCCGCCTGGAGTGGCTCCTCCCTGACCTGCTGGCCTCTGGGTCCCTACCCAAGATCCCACAAGACCGACCGACTCCGGTGGACAGGAGACCTGGGGCTTTTTTGCGCTTTTGCTTTGCCCCAGTCTCAGCCTCTGATAGATGTCCTCCATACCAAAGTTCTGAAGTCTTGCTGGCGAGCAATGGCTCTGCATACCTGCCCCCCTGACTCAGCCACTCCGGCCCAGCGTCTTCCCTCCGCGCTCCAACGGCTCCGGCTCGGCTCACTCTCCCCCGAGAGCCCGAAGCTCCGGGTGGAGCAGCCCCAGCCTGGCTTGGAGCTCGGAGCCGGCTAGCGAGACTCCGTCGTCAGCCAGGAGGAGCTGTCCCAGGCCGCCGGCCTCCGCCTGCTCCCTCGGGGACCCCACGGTGTGCCAGGAAACGTGGGTGTGCTACTTGGACGTTGGGCAGGAAAGACTTGGCAATGCCGGCTGCAGGCAGATAGGCGTGGCGCGCGCGCGCGCGCACACACACACTCGCACGCTCACACGCACACACGCAGCCCCCCCCCAACCCGGACCCCTGCCCTGAGCTGCTCCTGTCCCTCTGGGCCCAGTTGCTCAACCTCTCCGACCTGGCTGTGACACGGCGGCCCCTGTGTGCGCGGGCTTGTGCAAACAGGTGTGCGGTCGGCCTGGCCCGCGGAATCAGCCCTCTGGACGGATCTCCCGTGATGGACGGGTGCTCTGCGTCAGCAGCACACGCGGATCTGGCTCTCCCACGGGGGATGATGTGCTGGAGGACCAGGCCGGGCAGGCGCAGGGCAGAGGCCGGTGGATAATATAAGATAGGAGGTTTAATATCGTTCGTGTTTTTGCGGGGTGGAGGGTCCGAGGTGGGGACGGTGCCAAGGATAGAAGAAAGGCCTGAAAAGGATCTTCTGGGGGGGAGGGGCTGCACCCTGACCACGCCCCCAGCCCCTCACCGGAGGATTCTAGGCGGGGCTCACCTGGCCACGCCCCCGGCCCCTCACTGGGAGATTCTAGGCGGGGCTCCACCCTGACCACGCCCCCGCTCCTCTCTAGGCAGGGCTCCACCTGGCCACGCCCCCATCCCTCTCTCAACTCTTTCTACTTGAGTTCGCTGACCGCTCGGGACACCCCCAGGAGGAGGACACCAGGCTTAGTGTCCCTGTTTCATAGAAAAACAATCCGAGGAGGTGGAGCCACCTGCCCAGGGTCCCGTGACCGGCCACCTCCTCAGGACAGGCTCCCCACGCCGAGCGGTGTCACAAGACTTGGCTAGGACGCAGCACGCTGCAGGCTACCGTGAGTGCCTGAGGGACAAAACAGCCTGTCCCGAGGCTGGGCCGCAGGAAGTCACCTCTGCGTCAAACTCTCCTTTGATGTGACTCCTGTGTCACCTGCATTTATGCAGCCCTGACTGTGTGCCGGGCAGTGTGCCCGCTCCCCCGGGAGCACGCAGCTAACGCAGCGGTCGTTTTCAGCGCGCGGGGCTGGAAGGGGCGGGGCTTAGCCGAGGGCTTCCGGGTGCGCACCTCGGCGCCCCCGAAAGCTGTGTGTGATCCGGTCTGCGTGCGTGCGCTCCCTGTGCGGATTCTGGCAAGTCACCCCAGCTCCTCCTTGGCAGGAGCTGTCATTGCTCTTAACCTCCAGCCCTTTATTTTGTATTCGGGACAGTTTCTCCCTCTGTAGCCCTGGCGGGCCTGGAACTCTCCGCGTGGACCAGGCTGGCCTCGAACTCGCAGGCATCCCCAATGCAGACCTGGAACACTTGTGCTATCGCAGCTAGCGTTTGGTTCTTCCTTGAGGAATGTATTTTATTTATGGCACGTGGAGGTCAGGGACAGCTCCGGGGAGTTGGCTTTCTCTGCCATGTGGGTTCTGGGTTTGGAAGTCTGGTCAGGCTTGGCTGCTGGCCCCTTCACCCGCCGAGCCCTCTCTGGCATCCTGTATTTCAGTCGTTAATGACTCCAGACAGGCCGGGACCTCCCTGCCGCTCCTGGGATCCCAGGCCAGTGTGGCACAAGGCCCCAGACAGTTCAGACCTTTCTCCCCGCCTCTCAGCCCTGGAAACCTCATCCTGGGCCCCACCCTGTCCGCGAAGGGGGTCATCTGTCTCCCAGCACCCAAGCACTGGGGGGGCCTCACTGCTCAGCAGGGTGGGCAGCAAAGCAGATGAGCTCAGAGGGGCGGATTTGGACCAACATCTGGATGACACCTCCCCCCCCAGCCCAAAGCCCTATCAGACAGACTCTGCAGAGACTCTCACGAGACCCAACACAATCTCTCCCCACAGCCCACAGCCCACGGCCAGACCCCCGCCCCAGATCCACATTTCAGAACCCACAGGGGGGTTTCCTCTCTCTGCTGTCCTATTCTTTCTCTTCGAGGTTCCCACCCCGCCCCCTCTCCGGATCCTGCAGTTCCCAGGACCCTGGGAATGGGTGGAGTGAGAATCCTGCCTCCGCTGCTCCTACGGGGTGCGCGCTCCAGGCTGCAGCACGCACCCGGCGGGGGGAGGGAGATGGCCGGGCCCACAAGTGCGTGGGAGTGACGCTAAAGCCTCCGTGCGCACAGCGGGCGCCCAGCGCTCCTCTGCTGGCCCAAGGCTGCGGGGAAAGGTGAAGGTCAAGGTCTGAGTTAACTCTTGTCTCGGGGTCGCTAGAGCGAGGGGAGCCTGGGCCGCTGTGACTCAGTTTCCCCACCCTAAAAGGGAAAGCGGGAGGGCCCTCCCACGTGGAAAGGTGAACGCCGCGGGTTGCAGAGCGCTCAGCAGAAAGCCGGTGGCTTCCAGAACCCTCATTACGGCCTGGAGACACCCCACCCTCTCGCCAGACACTCTGGGGGCGGAGCGGGGCGCTGACCCAGACCCTAGAGGCTCCTCCCCCCTCCCCGGCAGGCGGGAGTCCCGGGTTCCCTGCTCCTTAAATTGGATAATTGGAGACGGAGGCGGGTGCTGGAGTCACAGCGCTAGTGGGCGACTCCGCGGGCGCTTGGGCTCCCCAGCCCGGGGTCACGCCGACCCGCTCCACCGCCTGTCTCGGGTACGCCCTCAGCGCACGCCGCCGACCCCCTCCGGGCGCGCTGGTGCCAGCCTTGCCCTGGTGCCCGCCAGGCCGGGTGTCTGCGGCCCTCAGGGGTGGTGGGGTCCGCCCCGGCGGCGGGAGGCGGGGCGTCCGCACAGACCCTCCCTTTGTGAGCGGCGCCTTCCCTGGGCCGCCTGGCGCTCACCGCTGGGCAGGCAGCCAGCGCAGAAACGGCCTCAGGCCGCGCGCCCCAGCCCCGGCAGCTCAGCCTGGCTTGGGGCCGTCAGGGAGAGCCTATTGTGTGCAGCCTCTGAGCCCGAGCGCGACCTACTGTGTGCGGCCCTGAAGGAGAGGAGTGCAAAGTGCAAAACAACCTACTGTGTGCAGCTCCTGAGGGCATGCTGAGTGCCAAAAAAATTTACTCTGCAAATCCTGAGCAGATTCAGGGGCTGCTGAGTGTAGTCCCTTCATGCTCGCTGAACCCATGGGGTTTAGCTCCTGGGGGTGAAGCCTTGCACAGCCCCCAAGCTCGTAGAGAGTTCAGCGTCTGGATTCGGGGGGGGGGGACTGTGTATACAGCCCGCTGAGCATTGCAGAACCTACTGTGCGCAGCCCCTTCCCAGTATGTGCATTAACTGCCTGTGGCGTGTGATCCCTGAGTGCGTGCGTGCGTGCTTGCGTGCCCACTGTGTGCACTTCATTCCATGTGCAGCCGCCCGTGCCCCTGCCACAGTCAGCTCCTGCTGTGTGCATGCTCTGGCCCGCTCCACAGGGCACCCACTCTGTGCGGGCATCCGCTCGTGCAGACAAACACAGCAGAAAGCAGACGCGCGCAGCTGGTAGCTCTGCGGGCTGCTGGGTACAGGGGAACCAGACGGCCACCAGCCGAGCCTCACACGTCAGAAAACATCCCTGTGTGGGCCAGCACTCACGAGGAAAAGCCCGTGTCTGGGCCACTCGCAATAGCCAGGGCCTAACTGGAGAGGTCCCTGAGCGTGAGTGTCCACTAGAGTTCAGGAAGCATCCAAGAGCTCCACACAGGGCTAGCCACCTTTTATTTATTTATCCATTGCATTTTTTAAAAAAATGTGCCCTGGTGTGCTGCCGGCATGGCTGTCCGTATAAGGGGGTCAGCTCCTGGAGTTACAGACAGTTGTGAGCTGCCGCATGCTTGCTGGGAATCAAGCCCGGATCCTCTGGAAGGGCAGTCAGTGCTCTTAACAGCTGAGCCACCTCTTCAGCCCCAGGGCCAGCCACCTTTGAGCTGAGGGGAAATTTAAAAGTAAAAACAGCCAGGATAGTCTCACACTCTGGGTCCTGCTGTGGGGGAAGGCTCCACTTGAGTCTGGTTCTAATATTGAGGGTGC